TCAAGACTCAACCGCATGGCCCAGATGAGCGTGCTTTTGAGAAGCCAAGGATTAGTGAATGAGTTGGACAATTCTTTCTGAAATTCCCCTGTCTACCTCCGCGGGAGCGCGCTGGACCCGATGTGACGATACCCGGGAGCTTGTGCCGTGGCCGCGCAGAGCAGGACGCACAAATTGTATTTCAGTGCCGGGTCCTTCCGGGTTAATGAGCTGACACCATGATTAAAGCTGACCATTTGTAATGTGTCTCGACCCTGCCGCAGAGCCCTGAAGAGGTTAATGCGGTGACGGAGGCAGGCACCTGCCCCTCGCCAGCCTCCCGGGTCTGGGCGCACAGCCTCCAAGCCCTCTGCTCCCTCCCCTGCCCCTGTCCCGGCTGCGCCACCGACCCCTAATCAATTAGCCTATTAACGAGCCTTTGAGGAGTTAAGTAGGAAGAGTTCTGCCACGGGCAGGGCCGCAGTCGGTAACTCACCAAGGCTAATGATATTATAAGCGCTTTACTCAATAACCCGGGAGCGGTGCAGGCGAGGAACTGCACCGTCACGGTGCAGTCTGGACATTTGTGGGGACCGATTCCATAGTCTCTCTTCACTGGTGTGTTCAAGGATCAGGGTTCCCCTGAAGTCAAGGTTGTAGCCACAGAGAATGGGTTTGTCTGGGAGCCCTGGGCCTCTCTCTTTCCCATAAAGCTTGTGTAGATAACTGTCGGCCTCAAAACAACCCTTTAGCTTGCGCTGGGTTGTCTCTAGATTGGATAACAGGTGCTCTAGGGATTAAATAAGCAAGAGCCTGAGCTCAGAGGGAGGCCATGAAAAGGAAGGAATGAACCAGGTTTTACTGAGTTCTACTTTGACCTGTGATAGGAAAGTAACACACCTAAACGATTTTAGAAATGGGGAAAACGAGTCTTGGAAATCTACATATCTTGCCCAAAGACATCCTACCCATGTTTGACAGGATTCTGCCCAATTCTAAAATAGCCTCATAGCTACCTACTTTTCTACTCAGCAGCAATATAGCAATTTTGAGACCGACAACATTTACCAAAAAAAAAAAAAAAAAAGTTAGTTGCGGTATTCCCGGGAAGGCGAGCCCTGTGGTATTCAGTTATTCAGTCAAGGTTTGGGAACTAAGTATCCTGCATTCCGAGGGCTTTAGATTTCTAAGGGCGATTTTCCACTCCTAGCTGACACATGTCTCCACATGGAGAAAGGGGGAGGGCGACACTAAGGACTTTGCCAGAGGGCAGAGATTCTTCTCCTGGGACCAGACTTGTTCAAGTTAGCACACTATAAAAGGTGGTGCTGGAATGTGAACAGGGACCTCAGGAGATCTATGGCTACTCCATTTCCAAAGACCTGTGGTCCCTTTAGCCAGTGGGATCTGCAGATGGAGAACCGCAGTTCTCTTCTCTGGTGTCTCCCAGCCACTATCCAGAGAAGGGCATCTCTCTGAGCCCCATACTGTTAATCTTCGATGCCCCATACTGTTAATCTTCACTATCCCAATGCGGCAAGAGACTCATAGCTTTTTGCCTGTTTCCTCTAGGCTGGAAGGGGTTGAGGGGTCGGGAGGTTGGCTGCAGCCTAAGGGAAGCATCTTGGATGCCAGAGAGCCCCACTGGCTCGAAGTCCCGCGTTGTCCCTGCCTCCGGAGAAACAGGGGCCCGAGTCAGGGTGAGATCAGAAATCCAGGCTGCAATCTAAGCTGCCTCCCGTCCCATACGCCCTGGGCTGGGCAGAGCCAAAACGGGTCCCGTACTAGGCGAGCTCCAGGAGCTCCCCAGTGTTGCACGCTCGGCCCCAGCTTTTTAAAAAATTCCGGGGCCGCTCGGCGGCGCTGCGATTGGCCGCGGTCGGGTAACCTCTATGCAAATGAGGCCGCGCAGCCTCCGCGTCGCCCGAGACCGGTGGAGTTGGCTGGCGAGGAAGGGACATTGGCACCGGAGCTGGGCGAGCTCACCCAGAGCTGGGCCGGCAGGAACCCGAGCGCAGCGGTCCGGTGTCTGCGCGTCCTGGCACATAAGGGACTCCTTGCCAGCCTAGTCGCCCCCTCCCCTTGCCTTCCCTCCCGCCCCTCCCCCTCTCCTGCCTGCCCGCACCACCTTCCACCCAGACCGGCTCTAAAGGGAGTTCTTGGTTTCCTCCGATTTCTTATGAACCCAGGATGGGCAGCAAGGAAGATGTGGGGAAGGGATGTCCGGCGGCTGGTGGCGTCTCCAGCTTCACCATCCAGTCTATCCTGGGCGGGGGCCCTTCCGAGGCACCGCGAGAGCCCGCCGGGTGGCCAGCCAGGAAACGCAGCCTGTCTGTGTCCTCGGAAGAGGAGGAGCTGGACGAAGGCTGGAAAGCGCCGGCTTGTTTCTGCCCAGATCCGCACGGGCCCAAGGAGCCAAGCCCTAAGCACCATCCCCCGATCCCTTTCCCTTGCCTGGGTAAGGATCGCACGTCGGGAGTCTGTCCCGGAGTGTGCATGAGCCTACGCGGTGTGCGCGTGTCGGAGACTCGGGAACAGGGCAGCCTCTGGCCACAGCCCAGCGGGCCATTGGGGGTCCAGGCCAAGGGGAGGGGGAGTATGCACCAGAGGTGCCTCCTGGCAAGGGCGGGCGCTGGGGAGAAGTACAGAAACGTTGGGAGCGTTTAGGGGAAGACTGTGTTGGTAGGAGGGTGAACTGGAGTGGGCCAGGAACTCTGCAGGCGGTACATTCGGTGCTGGCCAGAATCCTTTCGCACAAGGGGTGCTTTCTTTCCTGAGGAGTTCTGCAGATCTGGTCTAGGTGTTCTGTCTGTCCTTCAGTCTCTTCGGGTCTTTTCCCTCCTCTAGGTCCTTTCTCCAAGTGATCAGTACTCTAAAATGATTGACAGTGGTGCGTTTCAGAGAGGGTTTCTCTTGACAACAGCTGACAGAGGAGAGCCCGGGAGTTAGTCTTTAGCCTGACTTCCAAAGAAACGGCCTGTGAAATGATGCCAACTCATAAAGCTCAGTTCTTACAAGTCAAATATCACCTTTTGAAAATGGAGTTAACGTCCCTACTCCAGACCTGTTACTACGTATACTTTTTGGTAAGAGTGGAAACAGAGACCCTCAGACTCCCTCAGATTATAAGGGACCCTCTTCTATTGCTTAGAAAGGCCGAGGCTCTGACTTTGGACGCTCATAAAACAAGGCAGAAAAAGAAAGGGTTGTTTATAAGGGGACCAAGGATGCAGGCATTGGCCAACCTCCTGGTCTTGGAAAGAGCAGAGTCTAGGCGTATCAACTCCATGGTCATTCTGTATGTGCTTACTCTCTAGGTACCTCCAAGGGCAGCGGAAGCGCAGGGCCTGCGGGCTCGGAGCGCACGCCTTTCCTTTCTCCTTCTCACTCGGACTTTAAGGAAGAGAAAGAGAGGCTCTTACCGGCGAGCTCGCCCTCTCCGGGTCCGGAACGGCCGCGGGACGGCGGTGCTGAGCGGCAGGCTGGAGCCGCCAAGAAGAAGACGCGCACCGTCTTCTCCCGCAGTCAGGTGTACCAGCTCGAGTCCACCTTCGACATGAAACGCTACCTGAGCAGCTCGGAGCGCGCCTGCCTCGCCTCCAGCCTGCAGCTCACCGAGACCCAGGTTAAGACTTGGTTCCAGAACCGCCGCAACAAGTGGAAGCGGCAGCTCTCGGCCGAGCTGGAGGCGGCTAACATGGCACACGCGTCGGCGCAGACTCTCGTGGGCATGCCGCTGGTGTTTCGGGACAGCTCACTTCTACGAGTGCCGGTGCCGCGCTCGCTCGCCTTCCCGGCGCCGCTCTACTACCCCAGCAGCAACCTTTCGGCCTTACCGCTCTACAACCTGTACAACAAGCTTGACTACTGAGCCTCCCTCCGGCTCCCGGGGCGCTCCCCGGGCAGTCTGCAATCGCCTGCACACCTGGGCGCTGGAGACATCCTTCCCAGGGCTCCGGAGCAAAGCGTCGCGTGTCCAGAAATATTAAGAAATACACCATGTGTATTCGTTATGTCTTATTTATGGCCTCTTCCCTACTTTTGTTTTTGTATTTATCTACATTCCTCACGCCAGAACAACCTGCTTTCTACACAAAAACCAAACCATACGCGTTTGAAAACTTTTAAAAGGGGAGATTCTCGGGTGGTGGTGGGAAAAGGCATATTAGCTAGATTGGTTTCCGCTGGTAGCAAGGAAAAAAAATCAGAACACCAACAAACCGGGTACTTTTTCTCCCATATATACACCTGTTACGTATTTATGTATATGTGTGTTTGTATAAGGACACACGCGCAGCCAAGCCGAGCCCCCTGGGGCCTTGGTCATTGAACTAATCACATCTCTTCATTCCCTTCTTCTTGAGGGGTGAAATGAGGAGAGCACAGATCTGTAAATATTTTTAAAGAGAAAAAGAATAAAACGTTTTAACCATGGTTGCTAACTTGGAAGGATTAATTGTCCCGCTACACTAGGCACAGAGTGGTTTCTGAGCGTGCAAGATTCTCTACATCCTCCTGCTCCCCACCCCCCCCCCCCGTGTCCCCGCCACCAAGGTCCTGCACTCTCTACATGAGGGTGGGGGTGGGCTCAGAGGTTAAAGGTCGGAATATTGGGCTGCCCAGGCAGCACGTGACTGGAGCTGTCTACTGGGACAGCACAGTTCCCACGATTCAGGTGTGAGGGTTGGGGTACACTCAGGGATGGAATCGAGATCCCAAACCGGCGCCGAGAAAGACAAAGGCGGAGAGGCAGGCCAAGAAGGCGAAAATCTCCCCGGTGCTAGGAATTTTTTTTTCCCCCCCGCTAGACGGAAGCTGGGCTCGCCATGAATGGCCGAAGCCTAGCGGCATGCTTGGCGTCCTCCTTTGCAGAGTAATGCATAGTATGCGAGAAATTGCCCGCTTGGGGGCCAAAGCCTCACGCGACCCCGCTTGCAGCAGCGCACAGTTCTCTGCCTGATGACAAGTTGTGTGTTATGCGCGGGCCCGGAAGGTGATGCCTAAAGGCCACATTTCGATGGAGGGATTCGTGGAACCGGTGATATACCACATTTTTTTGTAGTTGTTAAATTTGTACTTTGGCTAAATTATCAGATCTTCGGCCAGCACCAAGAGGCTGTTTCTGACGTGAACCCTGAGGTGCAGTGGAGGCGCTTAAGGACTGCGGTACCCAGACAACTTGCCTCCACGCAGCAGCTGGGGAGGCGCTGCACCCAGAGAACAGCGGCACTGGAATCATGCAAATTGCATGATTTCTCTTCGCTTTGATAGTAGCCACCTGTTCCTTGTTAAACCTCAGCAATGGATGCAGAAGCTTGAAGGAGACCTCAGATGGAGTTTCTAGGTCCTAGCAGCCTGCCCTCAGTGGTTGACCAGGTGCAAGGAGCTAGGAGTGGGAAGTGGCAAGGCCTTATTTCTTTCTTCAGAAGAAAACCTTTGCCAGAGTGACCTGTCTCTGTGCCAAGAGGCATCGAAATGACTTGCATTTTGTAGAAATACACAGAATGCAAATGTTTACATGACCTATACCATTACTTGTAAAATGCCTGGTCCAAGAGATTTGCTCTGACATTGCCCATTTTCTTCTTATCATGTTATATCTCATAAAACCTGCAACTACTCCAAGGTGACATCAAATGGATGCTATTCAAGAACGCACCTGCCAGTACTAGGTTGGTCCACTTCCATTTATTTCATTTTAGCTGTGTTTGTGTCCACAGGTATTGTGGTCTTAACACTTGCTGAGACTCTACACTAAATTTGGGGTGGCCAGAGAGAGAACATTAGTTCTCTTCTTGTTTATTGAATGTGTGTATTTTATCTCATTAACGTTGTCATGTTAGATAATCTTTTTGTATTCTTTCCCTGACAGCATCCTTTGAACATTCCACACAGAAACAACCAAATTACTTCAGAGGAACATCTTGTAAAGGAATAATCCATTTAGATAATTTTGGTCTGCATTTCCATAGATTACAATTTGCTGATAGACTTAACAGTATGGGTTACCATATTTTCTTTAGCCTGGCTTTTCTCTATAGGTAGTGACTTCCTCCAGTCACTGTCACACATAATTTGAATTTGGCCTTAATAATTTACAGAATAGCCATTTTTCCAGTTGTCATACAGTACATATTTGACTCTCTTCATTCACCCAGACATTAGCTGTGACAGGTGACCCAACACAGCAATTAGTTTCCAGGAGTGTTTTCAACAGGTGACTGAATATTACATAATTTACATTTGTGTTGTGAATGTCCAAGACTCTATTGTTGCCAGATTTCCTATCGCAAGTCTATCAATTCATTTGAATAATCAGCAAAATAGTCCATCTCCTTTCAGGCTCTAAACTTGATTTAAAAGATTGACGTTTCTTAAAACTCAAATAGAGTTGGGCTGCAACTGCATGGCCAGAGGGACCTGAATCATACACACACTGGATAATGAAATACACTCAGATTTTATTAGCAGGTAATTTATGCTCAGAATCTGGAAACACTAATAGAATTAAATAAACAACTGGGAAAGAGAAGCAAATAAGTCAAGAGGGAAAATTATTTTGCTAAAGTTAGAATGCAAAACAACTCACTGCATTTTAAAAAATTGAACTTGGTCATTGATTTGGTGAAAGAAGAGAGAGAGAGAGAAAGAGAGAGAGAATGAAATACTAAAACTATCTGAAGAGGTCCAGAATAATTTAGCCATAATAATCATCATCAGGACAATAGGAGAAAGGCTCTGTGTGTGTGTGTGTGTGTGTGTGTGTGTGTGTGTGTGTGTGATGTGTCAGGAATCTTACGTGCATTTAGTTCAGAATATGTGCATACCTAGAGATCATTTTGCCCTTATTAACATACCTTGAAATTTAAATAGCTTAATCCTAGCAACAACTTTCTATTTCACAAAAATTACAAATTAAAAAGACTGTCTAAAAACAGAGGGGGAGTGAAAACGAAGTTGTGGCAAGGATTAAATAGAAACTCGCGGTAATATTTTGCATGCCAGTATGCCAGCCACCATATTCTGTTTGTCAAGTACTGCTTTTCTTTCACAGAACCAAAACAATTTCTTGTCACTGAGGCAACTCCTTTGATTCTCATATTTCTGGAGGATTTTAAAAACAAAAATGTAGCAAACTGAGCCTGCAGCTCTCATGGTATGGCAGGGTAGAAGGGGAGAGAACCTATGATGAGCATCCCTAAAAGATTCTGTTTGAGCTTTGAAATATTGGAAGTCTGTCCTACTGTTTATCTTTTTGGATGTGGTATTCCTCTAAAACAAGGAATAGTTTGATTGAATTTATATCCCCAAAGCCTCTTGCCAAGCCTGGCATTCCATCTATACTGCTTGATAACTGTAAAGAGATTTTAAAAAACGATAGAAATAGATCACTAGAACTCAAGGAAAATGAGACTCTAGTTCACAATGAAGGCAAATAATGCATTTGATCGGCTAGAGCTTATTTCCTTCAGTATGTTCAGTTTGGGTTAATTCCATGACATTCTCAGAAAGAAAATACTAATTTAGCTCTTTATCAACCAAGACGGGATTCTGTGTCTGAGAGACAGAGGACCCCTTCTCCTCTGTCACAACCAAAGCTAGATAAAACATCTTTCCTGCCTCCAAGTCTGTGGATGGTCAGGCAGGCAGCCCCAGGAGGACTACATCTCCCAGCATGCAGCATACAAATGTGGGCGGGCATGAGTGCCTCCTTGATCTGAGCAGACTTGGGAGTTGTAGTTTCCCTGCGCAGCTTCAGCGACGTAACCTCGGCGTGGTAGTAGTAAGACCCCGTGAACGGAAAAATAACGCGCTTTCCCTTTGAGCCGGAACAGGATGACTACGGTAATGACGCGAGCAGCAGATCGAACCAATTAGCGGCCGAGATCGAGCCGTTGGCGTTCGAAATCAGCCAATGATAGTCCTGCTCCGGGACTTCCTCTCCGCCTCCTCCGCTGGCCTGCGAGTGCTCGGAGAGAAACGGGGCGTTAGTGGCCGGTGCGGAAACGTTGCTTAAGCTAACACGAGGTAGAGGTCCGGGTGAGGGCGAGGACGAGGGTGGGTGGAGTGGGGTTCACGGCCTGCACCCGGCGGGTCAATGCACAGGGGGATCCGGTTGGCGTCCATTGTGTATTACTTGGGGAATCCGCGGGCAGGGAAGGAGGCCGGGCGGGGTAGAGCTCGGCGGGAGCGGGTTGGCGGCCAGTCTAGAGTACGGCGGACCCCGGCTCTGCGCAGGCGCAGACCCGGCTGACCTCTGTTGGCTCCGGTGAGGGACTCAGACTTAGCGTTTATTCTGCAGATGACGGGTTCGAACGAATTCAAGCTCAATCAGCCACCCGAGGATGGCATCTCCTCGGTCAAGTTCAGCCCCAACACCTCCCAGTTCCTCCTGGTCTCCTCCTGGGATACGTCTGTGCGCCTATACGATGTGCCCGCCAACTCCATGCGACTCAAGTACCAGCACACTGGTGCAGTCTTGGACTGCGCCTTCTACGTAGGTGGACTCAGTTTCTTCTCCCGTCCCCTTACTGAGTTAGTGTAGGCAGTGCCAGTAGCATCCCATACACGATTTGGAGTATTCGGACAGTTGATAGTGTTCTGGAGTGCTTTGCTTTAGCCTGGTTTTGAGCTTGCTACCATGGTTTGGTTTCATCGCAGTTTCAACCTCCGTTTTTAAAGTTCAGACTTGGGTAAACTTTTCTGGACATAGGATAATTGTATTTGAAGTTCTCAGCAATACTAATTTAGCTACCTTATTAAAAGGAATGGTGGAAAGTAAATATCTAATTAGCTGCTGGTGTCAATCAAGATAAAGCTGCTCCTTAATCGTTTTGGCGATCACTTGCGTTTTTACTTCCTAGTTTTGGTCACTCTGGACATAACCCAAACAGTTGGCTGTAGAAATAGCAGTTTTGAAATGCTTGTTAAAGCTTTGTTACTTGGAAATGGTTCAAAATTTAAGGGGCTGGGTGTGATGGCCAAGCCTTTAATCCCAGAGGCAGAGGCCTCTGAGTTTTGAGGCCTGCCTGTTCTGCATAGTGAGTTACAGGATCCCCAGGGCTACCAGTGAGACCCTGTCTCAAGAAACCAAGCCAAAACAAAACTTTATTTTATAGGATCCAACACATGCCTGGAGTGGAGGATTAGACCATCAACTGAAAATGCACGATTTGAATACCGATCAAGGTAATATGGCGGCATTTTATCAGTTTTCCTTTGCTATCACGCTAGTGTAGAAGTGATTACTCAGGATAAGTAGTTGGTTTCGATGGCTTAGGTGAAGGTGGAAAGTGGCTTTGATAATAAGCTTTTTGAATTTGAGTTAACACAAATGGAGCGTGTTTTTCATAAAGTCTATTTTGAGCACTGTCACCCGTGTCACTGAAGCACTTGACCATTACCTTTAGAAGTCTTTAAGAGTGGACTGGAGCCACGGTCTGTGATTTGTCAGGATTTCCTAGGACTGTTTGATGTTTTAGGGTGGTCTTTTCACAAACTAGAGTCAAGTGTGTTTTAAAAATGCAGCACACTAGTCAGTTCCGCTTACCTTAGGGTAGCTTTTGTATTCTTAGCTAGAGAATGTGTTTCAGTTGCATGTGTAAAAACATTTCTTAAGAGTTTTTATGATTTCACTGAGGCAGAAACGGGAATGAACCCAGCTATACATAGCCCTCTGAACTTTGCTTGCTTGCCCTACACTGGATGTAGGTATGCTTGGCAGAGATGGCCTGATGTAACTACCTAGGGACTGTGATGAACAGTGGGAGGATGGTTACAGAAGCATGTCCGAGCTGGGTGTGGTGGTGTTTTCTGTAATCCCAGCACTGGGAAGGGGGAGGCAGGAGGATCAGAAATTGAAGGCCAGCCTCAGCTACGTAGCCAGTTTGAGGCTAGCCTAAGCTCCATGTGACTATCTCAAGGAGAAAAAATAGTGCTTCATTGGAAGAGGCCTGTATATGAAAGTGACTTTTTGTGTGTGTTATGTACATGCTAGGCAAGCACTAGCCTGAGCTATATCTCTGAGCTATATCTCGTTACCTTGTATCTTTATGTTACATGGGGTTTGGCACATAGTATATGTTTAATAGATGTTGACTGAGTGAATGAACAAATGAGCTACTATAAAGGTTGAAATTGACAGGAAAGAAATTAGGTAGTAGAAATTTGGCCTTACATTGAGAACAAAGTAAACGTTTCAAATCCAGTAACCATTTCTTACAAGCATTGGCTTAATATGAAGAAAGTATTGTCAGGGTACAGGAAACCAGAGACTTCCACTTGCTTGTTCATTCAACAAGTATTTCTTGAGCCCCTACAATGTGCCAAATGTTGTACTAGTTACAAACAAAAGCAGAGTTAAACAAGTGTTTGTATAAAATCTAGGATCTAGTTAATAAGGAAGCACCATCTTAATACAGTTGGAGATTCAAAGCAGCTGTGCTATTTGCTTGCTATGGTATTTACCTGTGCAGTGTGAAGTAAATTACACAGGAATGGGTAACTTTGTAGTCACGGAGAGCTTGTTCCAATGCAGACATTTCTTTGGAGTTGATTGAGACAGATGCCTTTTAGTTGAAAGTCCCTTTAGTTCATTCAAGGTATCCTAGTTAGTTGAGATAGTAAAGCTAGATGTGTTGTTTTTATTTTATTTTTCTTTGCAATAGAAAATCTTGTCGGAACTCACGATGCCCCTATCAGATGTGTGGAGTACTGTCCGGAAGTGAATGTGATGGTTACTGGAAGTTGGGATCAGACAGTTAAACTGTGGGATCCCAGAACTCCTTGTAATGCTGGGACCTTCTCTCAGCCAGAAAAGGTAGGGTTTTTATGTCCATTAGGGGTGCTGTGCTCATTGGGATAATTTGTTTTGGTACATGTTTGATGAATATGCTGTTGGTTAGGGTAAACTGGCTGCCTGTTTTAGAAACCTAGCTGCATAGACATGCTTTAATGTGATGGGAAAACTTTTCAGTTTTGGTCATCTTTTTCTGTCAGTTATTAAATTTGGGCTAGAGAGCACAACTTACATTCTCATTCCATTATTGTTAAGCTTTAGGTCTGAGAAGTGAGTGACTCACTACCTTTTCAGAGAAGCCATTTATAGAGGCGGGCTGTCTTAAACTCAGCTTGACAACCCACACAAAAAAAAATGGCACGAAGCATCACTCATTTTCAGTTGTGACTTGAGGTACCATTTTAATTGACAGTTGAGAATAAAAGGGGTTATCATTTCGATTTCAGTGAGAGAGATGTGTTCTCTGGCTTTTATTGCTGTGTGTGTATTTAAATGCTGGCAGATGTAATTTGAAGGCTTGTAGTAAATGGAGCTTTTAAATACTTTGAATCTAAATTGTATTTCCCATAGACCGTACCATAGTTGGGTCTTGAGGGTTCTTTTTTGTTTGTTTGTTTTATTTTTTTCAATCCAGTTTGGCAATCTCTACCTTTGGATTATAAAATCATTTGTAGCCATGATCCATCCATCCTTCCTTCCTTCCTTCCTTCCTTCCTTCCTTCCTTCCTTCCTTCCTTTCTTTCTTTCTTTCTTAGAAATTCATACTTGAGTACACTGTATTTTTTACATCTTTTCTATCCCTTTTCCCTCTCCTACTTCCTCTACTCTCTCTGAGGTTCATGGCCTCTTCTATAATTATTATTGTTTTGTACACATGAATACATGCATACACACAAGCGACCGAATTCACTTAGTGTTGTTTGTTTATACATGTGTTTATGACTGTCCACTTAGGTTTGGATGACCTATCAGGTCCTGTCCCTGGAGAAAACTGATTTTCCTTGTGAATGAGCTTTTTAAAACCAACTTTCTGTCTTCTGACTTCCTGGTCTGTTTGATAAACATACTTAAGCTGTATCCTCATCAGACTTTTATCAGAGGATAGTTAATTTAAAAGATGGATTGTTTTAGCAGTTTAAAGGTATTCTTCACTTGCGTCTATTTCCCTAGTGTAAATATACTGTTCGGCTCTGTTAGCTGTTATTATATACAGCAGTGTGTCCAAAGAGCCATTATTTTTGTCACATCTCAGTCGAATCTACTGGCAAGACCTTTGTTCAGAATAAAATAATTGCATTGTTTCTAGTTTTGATTTATGGTTGTATGTAACATGTTAAGAACGGTGATAAATTGCTGACAGAATATCATATAATGGACAGCCACACTGAATCAAGCTGCTTATTGGTTCAGCAAGGTTCATTATGTCACTTTTTTTTAATACTTTCTTTGATAAATGTATATACCTAGTCAGTAGCATGACAGTGGTTTTTCTTGATTTATGATGAGTGGGGATAGAAAGCAGTTTTAGAAGCTTGGGTGTCACCCGTATAGTAAAGATTTAAGGTAAGTTCCTGATAAAATTGTACTGTTATACATTGATCTTTCTGGTTATTTTTTAAGTTTAGCACTTCATATATTATAGATTAATTTTCTTTTTTTTTTTTTGAAACACTGGCTTTCTGAATACATATAATATTCTTAACTATGCAATCATTATGTATATTTCAATTTCTTTTAAATTGTTATTTTTCCTTCAGTTTCATTAGTTGTTCCTTGGCTGGTGGTCTGCATTAACATACTGGTGATTATCAACTGTATGTATGGCTTGGTTATTGAGGGTTAAAAGGATGTCTTACCATACCATGGCTCCTCTACCTTTTTTATTAGTAATTCTGCAGGGGTTGAAAGTCAACACTAAACACTCTTATAGACTATGTAGACTGCAGATCTAGATTTTTAAGGAAATAATTCTGGTTAGGAGGACACTTTTTGCTGCTCTTTCATGAATTTGCTCCCTCTGGTGTCTATGTAACATCTTATTTGTAAGTAAGCCCCTAAATGTTTTGCTTGCAGGAAATTTATGATTTCTTATAAGGTGTTTTTGTGGAAGCTTAAATATTGAAGAAAAGACATTATGAGGGAGAAAAATAGCAGCTTTGAGGAGATAAAAGGCTTTAAGGTTTTTGTTTGTTTTTATCCCCTTAAGCAGAGTTTACCTCTTTAACATGATGACATCAGAGCCTAAGGGTTAGCTTTATTGTGTGCAGTGCAGCTAAGGGCAGCTCTCCTTATCTTTTCATTTTGAGTTTGTGCTGCAAAGCCACAAACAGCCTGTTAGTGATGCTTTCTTCAGTGTTCCTAGAAAGACCTTTTCCCTCAGGGAAACGGCTGGGAGATGCCAAGAGTTTCAGAGTTGCCTAATGAAATCTTTGAAAAGCTGGTCTGGTCATGGAAAACAATGATAATAATTCTTTGACAAAAAGCCAGAAGCTCTCTGAAAGACATTTTGACTTGATTGTCCTGTTTTCAATGGGTTTAATACTTTTTATCTTAAATAAGGCAAGAAATTTTGAGGGAAATGTCATAATAGAGTGTTTTGTCTTTAAAAGTATCTACAAGCTTAGTTGGAGTGTACTTCATACTTATCCATATGTACTGGGTGTGCACAGTTTATGTAAGTCACCTCACTTATGTCTAAAGTGGACACTTGCTCTGGGAACCTATTCAGCTAGCTTGTTTATGGTTTTAGGATTAAACGGACTGTGGGAGCAAAATATTATTTTTCAGGAAGTAGATGATGATTATCAAGTTTTCATGTTTCCTAAAAGGTGTATACCCTATCAGTGTCCGGGGACAGGCTGATTGTGGGTACAGCAGGCCGCCGAGTGCTGGTGTGGGACTTGAGGAATATGGGCTATGTGCAGCAGCGCAGGGAATCCAGCCTGAAGTACCAGACTCGCTGCATCCGTGCCTTCCCAAATAAGCAGGTACTGGTCCCCACAGCCTCCTTTTCTTCAATTTCCAAGGAGTGGTGACATGAAATTTGCCTTGGGTCTGCTCTCCATAATCTTTTAAAGACAACTAACTGCGTGTTAAAGGAGAATAACTTAACCCCACATTTAGGGAAGATGTTGATGGTCAAGTGCTTGGAATAGATCTTAGTGCTGGTTTTGGTATGGGATGCTTAGTAAGTATGCAGTATCAAAGAGTTTAAGATATTTCAATTTATAAACCAATCAAAGCCTAAATTTGGAAATTTAGGTTTATAGAATTTGCTTTTTAAAAAAAAATGTAACCCTGGTTAGTGTCATTTTTACATTCCTTTAGTCTCAGCTTCTCCAAGGCTAGGGTTGCAGATATGGATGCCTGCCTTTGTGTTTTTTAATCCTACTATTAGCAGAGTTGTTTCTCTCACTTAACAAGAGAGCTTTAATATTTTCTTCTTTTTTTTTTTTTTTTTTTTTTTTTTTTTTTTTTTCTTTTTTGTCCTAAGAATGCTGCTGAGGCTAGGTAGTGTCTCATATGATGACTATCTCATGATGTACTGAGTGGGTCTCCTTCCATCATTTCTTTAAAATATTAGTAAGCTCCCTTTTATTAGCACTCCTTAAAGCTATAAGGGGAGGTTAGCCTCAGTGGTGTATTCCTATAATCATAGCACTTAGAAGTCTGAAGCAGGAAGAGTGTGAGTTCAAGGCCATCATGGGCTATAAAGTGAGACACTGTCCCAAGAAATAGAAGGGCAATTGGTTGTGGGGTGAGCTGCTGTAGGATTTTTCTTTTTCTTTTTTTTTTTAAAGAGAAAACTTCACTTAAAGAAGTAGATGTATTTGGAATCAGGGCTGTCCTTTAGCTGCTGTGGAATATGGGGCAGGAAGTTCTTTTGATTCTTTGTCTCACCTTGAACCTCAAGTGGTGATGTAATCACAGTTCTTTTAAAGGAACAATAAGGACTATAGACAATTAGCTGCAATGAATGAAACTTACAAAGGTTTAAATGTGATTAAAACATAGTTGCATTACAAAAATGTTTTTGTGCCTATATTTAAATTTTTCTGTAGGATTAACTTTGCTTTTATGATGAATGCTTAAAGTAGGATTTATTAAAAAAAAAAAAAAAAAAAAAAAAAAAAGGAGATGGCTCAGGAGCTTGCTGCCAAGATGATGCCCTAAGTTCTAGCCCTGGGATCCATGTATTGTAAGGAGAGAACCAACTGTTGCAAGTTGCCCTCTGCCCTCCACTCATAAGTATCTGCACACACATACACATGCCTGCGCATAAAACAAATAATGAAAAAAATTGGAGTATGTCAGTTCATTTTCTGTGAGCAGTTTTTGGGAATAACTTTTCAAAAAAATATCTTGACCAAAATGTAAAGATGTAAAAAGCATAAATTTCATAGTTATTGCATTATTTTTTCAAAACTATGTTGTTTCAAGGGAAGATGTAAACGAGTTTGAAACTGGGAAGCAGCCTTGATGGTTGCTCACAGTCTGGTTTATGCAAACCTGACTCACTGTAGTAAATGCAGGGCCAGCTGAGCTGAAACTGAGTTACTGGCACAGCCTCTTGATGAGGGGGCATCGTACTTAAGATGGAGAGGAGGTTTTAACTGAGGCAACAGATTGGAGTTCAGGACAGGAGACAAAGGGTGCTAAAACTTAAAAATTTTTGTTTAGATTTGACGAGTCGTTTTTGGTTGCAGTGTGCTAGGCACTCATAGTGTGGAGAAATCGAGTAAGGATGGCACCATTTCTTATGAAGCAGAGGTATTGTTGTTCTTAGCTTTTTATAGAGGGGTCAAGACTGTCAGTACAGCTCTAGTCCTTTATTAAACCTGGCTGAACTTTCATTTCTGAACTAGTCCTCTTTATGGATTGAATTGGAGACCTCATGTGCTCTCTGGAAGGCAGGTTTTGCCATTTTGGGCCTCTGCTCTCTCGGCAGGGTTATGTGTTGAGCTCCATTGAAGGCCGAGTGGCGGTTGAATACTTGGACCCAAGCCCCGAGGTTCAGAAGAAGAAGTATGCCTTCAAGTGTCACAGGCTAAAGGAAAACAACATTGAGCAGATTTACCCAGTCAACGCCATTTCCTTTCACAATATCCACAATACATTTGCCACAGGTGAAGTATGACACACAGGCCTGAGCTGAGTTTTACTGTTTTATGCTCAGGCAGAATCTTAAGAGTTTGTTTGCCTTGGTACAAAGAGCCATTTTAACAAATTACATTACTTGCAGGTGGTTCTGATGGATTTGTAAATATTTGGGACCCATTTAACAAAAAGCGACTGTGCCAGTTCCATCGATACCCCACTAGCATTGCGTCTCTGGCCTTCAGTAATGACGGAACTATGCTTGCAATAGCATCATCTTATATGTATGAAATGGATGACACGGAGCATCCTGAAGATGGTATCTTCATTCGCCAAGTGACAGATGCAGAAACAAAGCCCAAGTGAGTATGCTTCACCTGGATTGAAGCCTTTTCTTGCATTCAACCCAGGACTTATTAATTTTTCTAAATTCATGAATAGCATTGTTGATGCCTGCTCGATATTACAGCTGACTGTAGGGTTGGAGGTGATTTTATCTTGTTCTCCCAAGCTTTCAATATCCGTAGGTTGATAGACGTCTGATGGATAAAATTGTGCCTAGTTGTTTTGTAGAGAAGAATGTCAAACTCTCATTCTTCTTGAATAGGCTCTATTATTTGAATCTCTGAAGTTACTACTAGCTCATTGCTTTAAAATTAAGTTGAGGAATTCAAGAATAATTTATTTTAGTAAATTCTATTTAAGATATTTAAGAATTTGAACTGACCCAAAAAAAAAAAATCTTCCCTGTCCAGAGATTGTTTCTGTAATATTTACAGAGGCGAATGGTCTTTGGGTCTTATTGGAGGCCCAGAGTAATATGGCCTTGCCTAGCATAGCATATTTTCTTACTTTTGAAATTTTCAGAGATATTGCTAGCTGTGGGTCCTCACTGTTGACTGAAAGGGGCCATCTAGGGTTTTTGGCAGTGGCAGGACAGTCTTTTAATTAGTGATCTTTTGTAGGATCTGAGAACACAGGGGCTTAGGACATAGTACACCATGCAGTGCCTGCCCCACGTGTCTTGTCCTCATCCTTGTCCCTGTTCTCAGGTCCTCAAAGGAAATTCCCAGGAAATATTTGTGATAAAGAAATGTGTGTTGGACTTCTGTGACTTTCTGAAGTGCCCTTGCTAAATTTGTTGGGCCTCTTTGTAGGAACAGAGCATTTCACAGGAGTAATGTGTGTGCTTTTCTAGGTCAGTTTTAGAATGTGGAGCCTGTTGGATAAGGACTGTGTTTACATTTAATCTGTCACATTTATATTTATTGTTCTGGCCGGCCATTTTGATCTCCTGCTGTTCTTTTTTTCTTTTGAACTTGTAGGTTACCATGTTCTTGACAAGATTTCATTTATTTAAATGCCATGTTGATAATAAAACAATTAATTGGTCCTCCCCAGTGGTGGATTTATAACTTAACAGGGAAATGCTAATTTTAATTTTTTAAGAACCTGAAAATAAAGGAAAAGAGGTTTTTCTTATTTTTTTCTCTTTCAGTGGTTTGATGGTTTGCTACATTAAAGGTATTTTGGCAAATGGGATTGGAGGGCAGGGACTGCAGTTTTGAGAAGCAGTCTTGACCTTGATTTTTGTTTCTGGTGTGGAAATGTTTGTAAATAGGAGTAATAAAAATCCCTTTGTGTTCTTTCTGGACCTTAAATGGTAAAGGAGAAGGCTCTTGAGTCATTGATTTCTTTGCTGGTGATAGTTGGTAATTCGAAAGCTGCTTCAGACTGCCTCATGAGGAGGTTAATCTACAATTAAACAATATTTCCTCTTGGCCGTCCATTATTTTCTGAAGCAGATGGTTCATCATTTCCTGGGCTGTTAAACAAAGCGAGGTTAAGGTTAGACTCTTGGGACTCAGCTAGTTTTCAATCTTATTAGGGTGCAGGAGGAAAACTAATAAGAAAACCTCCTAACATCATTTTGTGACTGTAAACAATTATTTATTAGCAAACAATTGATCCCAGAAGGGCAAATTGTTTGAGTCAGTAATGAGCTGAGAGAAGACAGAGCATATCTGTGCATTTGGGAAAGTCACTGTAACGTAATTGCAGTACATTTAGACAGGCATCTATCTGGACCTGTTTCTATCGCTAAATGAATTTTTGGAAACATTAATGAGGTTTACATATTTCTCTGACATTTATATAGTTCTCATGTCCATTTCAGTTGCCCAGCCGCTGGTGATTAAAGGTTAAAAAGAAATGAGAATGAGATTCATTTTGATGTAATGTCTTGTAGCAGAACACGAACTTAGCTTGGCCTGTCTTAAGTAGTTCCAGGGTTTCTGTTGTCAGGCTTCTTAACTGTGATGTGCTTTATTTGTAAATGTGCATCTCTGGATAGGATGTAGACCTTTACTGAAGTTTATTTTACCCACAGTGTACTTTTAAAACATTCTTCTGGGACAGAGAAAGGTCTTGTCTTTATTTTGTAAGATTTCTAGTAAGAACTTAGTGTGACATCTAAGTGGATCCTCTGAACTGTGTTTTCTTCATTGCAGGTCTACATAATCATCTGGTGGAAGTTGTTTCTCTGTGGAAAGCTTTGCTTCCTACAAACACTTGTTTCCCCCAAGGGCTGCTGTAGTCATTGGAGACTCCGTCTAGTGTGTGGATCTCTGTTTCCTGTCATAACAGCAATGTCTCTGTGTACTCTGTAATTGTTTGGGGTGGGGAGGCTTCGTGCCCTTGTACAGTAGTCAAATTCTTCTGTCCCTATTGCTGTTAATATTCCAGTTCTTTGTAGCACCGTCTAAAACTGTTACTATTTTTCTGCTGTTTAATAAATCAGACTTGGGACTTTTGAAAGTTGGGTGTTTTGAAAGATTTTGGTAATTAGTGTCATTTATTGCATAACAAAACTTTGCTTAGACAAAAGTGTTCTTCATCAAGGGCATGTTGTGAGTGACATTTGACCTTTAAATGTACTCTGCCTTATTTATTTATGTCTGCTTTTGTACATTTCCCCGGCCCTGGATAAAGTAACGCACTTGAATTCACTCAGCCATTTTGCTATTGTTCCTGCTCATGTTCAGGATTGGTGACACCTGTGAACCATCTCTATAGCTCCCCTCAGGATGGGCATAGACTGCTGGCCTCAGGGCATCTCTGGCTTAATGCTGTAGCAATGCCAGTGTTGTAGAGAGCATGCATCCCCGTGCTGACAGTGACATGCTTTGCAGACAGAGAACGAAATGACTTAGCCATCAACTACTACATGAAAGGGAAGTCCTTGGGATGGTAAATGATGTAGCAGCCAGGGGCTTACTGGTGGCATTGGTCCTATGGTAGGATTTTATGCTTATTAAAGTCATAATCACTTGATTGAGTACAGAGCATAAATTCCAAACATTGTATTAAAGATGACCAAATTAAAGCCATGTATCGGACTTGTGTTTGATGTCCCTCTCTGACCCTTAAAACAAAATGTTTCTCCCTGACTCCTCTGCATACTACTTGCCCACCGGCTCAGTTTGCCTGTTTGTTATTACAACTACTTTTACCTTCAGTTTCCCAGGTGTAGTTTACCATGGCCTTTTCTTTTTGAGGATGAATGTCTGTACACCAACAGTGTGCAGTACACTCTGAAGGCAGAAGAGAGCATCAAATCCCCTGGGACTGGAGCTAGAGATGGTTGTGACCATCCATGTAGTTGCTGGGAATTGAACTCTGGTCCTTTGGAAGAGCTACCCAGTGCTCTTAACCTTTGAGCTCTCTCTCCAATCCAGCATTGGCATTTTAAATGAGTTTTCTTACTGATGCTGTAACTGTTTCTTCACTCTGTCTTTCTGCCGATTGCTACTGTTCTCAGGGTCTTTTGGGTGTATGTTACACATCAGCCCTTTTCTTAAATCCTGTGTCTCCTAGAATGATGTGTCTCTTGTGTTTTAGCAGAGTACAAGTCAGCATAATTGGTATGACAGACCAAAGTTTGGTCAAATTTGCTCTTTTTGTATGTGGGGTATCTGGTGGGTGGGTGCATATGTGTATCGCTATATTTAGTGCTGGCTATGATGTCTTGACATTATTTTACAATAAATTGTCACAATTTTCAGAAACTGCTCAGTGTCTTGCAAAATTAAGAAACATGAACAGTAATACTTGGTACATGTTGTCTTGGGGTCTTATGTTTCCTATTCTGATAATATCACAGAAGATGTGCTTTTGGAGTCTTCAGCTTTTGGGTTGGGGCTGCCCTTCCCTTGGAGTCCTAGTAAGTAGATGAGATAAACTGCTGTGGCAGCAGCCTGTGGTACTGAGTCCCCCTGCAGAAATGGGAAGGTGTTTACCGTTCATCCCCTGCCCTCAGGGGTATGAGGCTTTGATTTAGGACTGAGGCTACACTGCTTCTTGAGTACTGGGCTTAAAGGATTTTTGAAAAAGCCATGGAAACTACTGCTATGGAAGGATCATCGAAGATTTAATGGGGGATTCCTTTTTATCTTCAGTTTGGTACCCCCAAATTCCTTTGACTTGCATATCCACTTGGCTTTTGTTAGACCTGTGGCTGAACCGTTTACCTTTTACTATTGGCAAGAAGCGCTGGAACCTGCTATACCCAGAGCTGATCTATTTTTTTCACTGTAATCTCCAATTCTCATTCAGTTCTTTCTGGATTGTTCTTTCAGGTCTTAACATAAACATTACAAGGTCTGACTGAAGGTGCCCTCTTCTGTGAAGCCCTCGATCCTCAATCCTTGTTGCAGCTTAGAACTAGGTCCATTTTTGAAGTATGTGGGAAGTGTTTCCTGCCCCCACCTTCGGTGCTTTGAGCTTTTGAGGATTGTTTTAGTCACGCATTTAATGTTTTTGTTTGTTTGTTTGGAGATAGGGTTTTCTCTGTATTTACTGCTTTGGAACCTGTCTTGGAACTAGCTCTGTAGACCAGGCTGGCCTCAAACTCACAGAGATCCACCTGTCTCCCAAAATTAAAGGCATGCACCACCAATTCCCAGCTCACTGTTTGTTTTGTTTTTTTTTTTTTTTTTTTCCAAGATAGGGCTTCTCTATTTGGAGGTACTTACCTACTTTGTGTGAGCCCTTGGGTTTGGTCTCCAGCACATAAAAAAAAAATCAATTAATTAATTGGTCATCTGACTTAATTATTTTATATAAGACAAGGTGGTTCTTAAGTAATTATTGTATCCCTAGTTATTAAAGTACCTGCATATTTTAAAAACGTGAACTGAAGTAGCAAAAGTCCCAGATCACATCCATAAACCATCATCTGGCTTTGAAAGTATTCAGTATTCTCTGCTTTTGCAGTGACTTTGCATGGGAAGCCTCATTATATCTTTTGGCACTGTACCCTCATAAACTCAGGCTCACAGATCTGTACATACTTTGACTTTTTCAGTTTGCATATTTGCTGTAGTTCCTTCTGGAATGAATTTGTCCCCACCCAACATCAGCGTTTGTTACTATGATGTAGTAGAAGGGAGGGGCTGAAGCTGTGAACAACCCCACCCAGCAGCAGCAAGGTTGTGTGTCAGAGTGGCTGAGCCAAGCGCCCCTTTCTCAGGAAATCAACCCAGTACAGTAATGAAGGAATGCCAGTTGTCTGACTCACTGACTCAAGGGTGAAAACTTCATAACCCAGGAAAATATATACACGTTAATGTTCCTACTAAACCAGGTTGGGGTCTATTAAAATGACATCTGTGTTGTCATCAGGGAAGTAGGCACACCTCAGGTTTGAATGTGTCCTCCTTTGACTTCCCCACCTTAGCCTCTGAAATGTCTCAGGGCACCCCATCTGTCACTTGGGGAAGTATTGACTTAAGCTATTAAGGGTAGTTATAGAGAGGTTCCTTTCAGAATGGCACCTGGCTGCATTGCTTTGGAACAAGCGAGCACTAAGGAAAACGAAAGCAGCTGCTCCCGGTGGCCGCAAATACCAGTTGGGGCTTTGAGTACAAAGGCACTTTCCCCTTGATCAGTGACGTGCTGAAGCAGTGCTTTCATTTTCCAAGGATGCCCACAGAACTTGGCCTGGGGTTGTTGTAGGGCATTGATTTTTTAATTTTGTGTGCTGAGGTAGGAAAGAAAAAAAAATCTGAAGGTGAAAAATGGACTAATTTATAGAGGTCTGTATTTGGGAAATCATGATACGAGTTCGTTCATTGAATATAACTGATGATGTGGCAACTGGTCTTCAGAACTTAGTTTAAATGAAAAGCAATTGATTGTATTTTGTTGCTTTGTTTTCCTTGAATACATCCTTGACTAACAGTATGACTTCCCAAATTACCTGCCTTGCAAAGGGAAAAAGGAAATGCTTTGGTGACCTTCAGTGTACTATTTGTGAGACTTAAGTAACCGGAGGCTCATCCTGTTCTTTATTTCATTAACTAATTTCTCAAGAAATATTTGTTCACCTCTGACCAGTTCTGTATGGTTAACACAAAACTGGAGAAGCGGTACAAATCATACCTACTGTGTTACTAGGCCAATGTAATGAAGTACCTTCGTCCCCTTTATAGGACTCCGTTACAGGCTATTGTAGTAATTTAAAACCCTGTACCTTAGACTCTTGACCTTGTTATAACATCACTTTATAATTCTCAAAATTCTTGGCTCTTGAAGATTTCCTTAGCACCAGCCATGTATTCTTAAAGAGCCCGATTTGTCTTGAGTGTAATATTACATACAGTATAATATTACAATGTCTCTTCTGCTGAGTCAGATGCAGCATTCCCAGAGTTGCCACACAGAAACCTTCTAGTCTTAGCATGGCACACAGGTACTGATGTTTTCCACTTGGAGGAATACCCTAGTTTGGAACAGCAGCAGCTCACAGCCTCAAGTGTGGAAGCAGCTGCTTCCCTGGTTACTGTAGTTCTTTGAGTATGCTGGTAGTAGAGGGGAGCTGTGAACTCTCCACGTGACCCCCACATAAAGGTAATTCTGGAAATCGAGGACAGGCATACCAGCTGTTAGCTTGTCCTTTGCTGCTCTTCACTGGTTGATCTTTGTCCTCTCCAGTCACTACAGAAGTTTACATGAGCAGTGCCCTTCCAGAGCTTGTACCTGGAAGCAGCCTGTTCATTATTTGAGATTATAATATGATTTCACCATTTCTCCCCTTTCCTTCTACAACTCCTTGTATGCATTCCATCCCCTGATCTTTTTCAGTTGTTGTGTATGTGTGTTTGGGTAGTCCTAAATATATGAACACAACATGCTCAGCCCATGTGTAACTTGTATGTATGTTTTCAGGGCTGACCATGTGGTATGGGATAACCAGTTGGTGTGATCTTCCCCGGGGAAGACTATTTCTTTTGCTCTCAGCACTCCTTAGTTCTTTGTAGTTTTTGTGTAGGGTTGAAGCCCCTTGAGCGTTTCTCTTTCGTAATTACCATTGTTCAGATCTCTTTAGGCAGTCATGTTGGTGAGACTTCATAGCTTCTCTGACACTTGTAGGATATATAATCTCACATCAAACACTGTTCCTCTGGTTCTAACAATCTTTCTGTCCCCCCCCCCCAAAAAAAAAAAAAAAACAACAAAACAAAACACTCGTTTGCAATGATCCCTGAGCCTTAGGAGCAGGAGTTGTGTGGTAGATACATCAGCTGGGACCGGGCTCCACGACCCTGCATTTCGATTAGTTGTGATTTTTCTGTAACTGCCTCCATCCTTTGTAAAGAGAAGTTTCCTTGATGTGGAGTGTGTTGAAAATGTAGTTATGGATCATGCTGGTTTAATAAAATGATGGTTTTAGGTTCTCCAAGATCCATGACTTCACTAGCCCCAAGTCATTGGCTAGGTTTCTATTACCAGGCTTGATGCTCCTTTTGCTGAGCAGGCCTTCAGTCCAGTTAGAGAGGTGTTGGTTACCACCACCAAGGTGTGTGTGCCACCTGCTGTGCCCTTAGGGATATTGTGCCGTGTTGGTGGTTTTGGCTCCTAATCATCCTAGCTGGGCAGTCTGCTTATTTTAACTATACTAACAGAATGTGTGCCAGTTTTCACTGGACTTGGCTTTTGCTTTACCCAGCTTTGCAGTAACACACCTGTGCTGCCAGACTTTATCCAGGGTTTACTTCTGAAGTGGACAATCATTTGAAACTGTCAAATGGTGAGAGAAATGTCATTTGCTTGGACTCCAGTGAAACAGTTGGGCCAGTGAGATAGCTCGGCAGTTTAAAAGCACTTGCCCACTAAACTGCTTGCCATGAAAGCCTTGATGACCTGAATTTGATCATAGAACCCAGGCAAAGGTGGAGAGAACTGACCTCACAAAGTTGCCCTCTGACTTCCTCATGTGGGCTATGGCATGTGCACATTCACATGTTACCCCCATAATAAATTTAAAAGACTCCAGAACATGTGATAAACTGACCAGAGTAAAATGGAAATATGAGGGGATATATTTAATTCCTGAATAGTGATTTATAGATAGTAATGTACTGCTAGTAGTAGTAGCAATATTTGATCAGTACACTCGCTACCTGGAAAGGCAAAATTGACTCTTAATATTTGTGTGTGCACATGTGTGAGTCAGGGTATCACTATGTATCCCAGGCTGCTGTTGAATTCAAGGCCACCCTCCTGCCTTAGACTTTTGAATGTTAGGATTACAGGTGTATGCCACCAGCACTCCAGAGGCAAAAGCAGGCGAACATCTTTGGGTTCGAGCCCAGCCTGGTCTACATAGTTCTAGGACATCCAGGACTACATAGAGAGACCCTGTTTCAACAAAAGAAATGAGGAGGAGGAGGAAGAAGAAGAAAGAGAACAATGGCATGGAGCCATCGCTCTTCTAATGGAACTGTCCACCACTGGCAGTTACTTGCTGGTAAAGAATATCAGGAGTCTTCCACAGGAGTCTCATAACTCCTCAGCTGGACAGCTGTGATGGTGGTTGTGCTGTTAAGGGTCTTCTCTTGGCTACTGGTCCAGGTGGTTTGGGTATAGGCTCTTTTCCTCTGTGTTTTCTATCTTTGCTTTCTACAACAGACAATAAAAGGAATCTGCAAAACTTGGTTGGTAGTTTTTGAAATGGAAGCTTGAGACACTATTGGGCTGTTTATTCCAGGTGGTGGTGGGTGTCAATGGCTAAAAAAGCCAATTTGTGTGCCCACAAAGTCTGGGCTGGCTTTG